GAAATCAAATAATATTTGATATTCTTCGCCTCTTGGACGTAATAACACCCCTACCCTGATAGCCGTAGTCCCGTGTCATGTTTGATGTAGGGTCCCTAATTCAAATAATGTCATGTAAGGTGAAGAAAACGATAGTAATATCCCTCCAAAAACATTCGTACAGGTTTTGGTTTAGGTAAATTTCAAATTATTCGATTTTACTGCTAGCAAACATGGCAAAATAAACTCTGTCAATCCATCAACACCACTATACCAGAAGCCACAGCACCATTGGAGTGGCGACACTAGCAAGACAGGCTCCCGTGCTGATACAGAGAGTGGTGTTTATTCAGAAGATTCTTTCGAAGAACATCACAACACTTCTAAACAAAGTGGGTCAAATAGCAATGTGAGCAGGGGACGAAATGGTGAAAAGGTTGAGAAAACGGGTTATGATTTTGAAAGAGGATTTCATGAAGATAAAGTTGTTGGAAAAACCAGTAGTACAAACAATGGAAATATCTTTTGGATGGAACGTATGTGGAATACTATTTATTAATATGCTAGTTTCTGGCATTCATATCCCATTTTGTTACTAACACAGATCAAATGAATTAATCCATTCCTTTGAAACGGAATATAGGAATGGGTCTAAACTGTACGTATTTGTGCTTACTTGCGTCTTTGTCATTAAGATTAGTCAGGCATATCAGATCAAATACAACCAAGTCTAGCACCAGACATATGCGATTCTAAATGTTAACCACATTTAAATATCATATTTTCAAGATGGCCTGTGGCCTCAAGTTTATTTTCCTCTTTATTATTTCAGATTTTTTGGAGGAATCCCTAACTCAACCTCCAAATAGGAAATCTGTGCCGGAAACAGTTTCGTCTTTATAACAGGAATGCCGATTACAAACACCTCCGTGACTGTAACATATCCATGTGATCGTTTTAACAGGACCTTTAATTTTGCCAGGATGGAATTCTTAGTAATAGGTCATATTGAATGTCTTGTGTTTATTGTTCCGTGTATGTGTGTCAGTTAGTCAAAGACAGGGTGAATTAGGGGTGATAACAGACTATAATTTAAATAATATAACAAAGGCATATAATAAAACTTGCCGATACAAGTGGGGTAAAGTGGGGTAAAAGGGACCCCTTAACTTCAAACGTTCACTGCTTTGGTCGAACGAAATAGAATATACGTAATTGTTTGTCGGGTTGTAGCATCAGGAGCACTTTTCGAGTTACGAAGGTTTCATTACGAAATAATGATTAATTTTGAAGTTTTGCATAAATAAAGAATAATGTGTCAGGGGTCCGTTTTAACCACTATATGGGGTAAAACGAACCCCGCTACAGGGGAAAGAAGGACCCCCGGTGCCCGCCTTACCCCAGGTCCTAGGCTATGTATACTATACTATTAATACTTCGATCTTTCGTTTCTTACCCAGGCAACAGTATGATCGCAAAATTAATACTGCATCTTTTGAGCAGTGGGTCGTGGGCGGCCGATAATTTCGTCAAATTCATATCATTGGATGATTTTGTATAACTGACAGATTGCCTAACCCCGGTTGCTAATTTGATAATAGACAGTAATTAGTAAATGCGACAACTTGCATTATGCATAGACTGGAGGCCAATCTAATCCTACTCCTAAACCACATGAATTCAAAAAATAAATCAACTATTATTTGTTAGAGTACATAATATTTTATTTTAACTCTAGCGATCTAGGGTTGGTCATTTAAATTATAAACAGAATTCGCATACAAAGGTGTCATCGGAATCGTCAACACCTGCACATTCGTCATGTGCCCAGTTTTGACATCTCATGCACTGGATCCATCCGTCAAAATCGTTCATGCCATACCTTTCATTGCAATAAAGGCACACGCTATTTTCAGTACCATCGAGAGATGTTTTAGAGCATTTACTCTCCCTGGAAGTTGGTTTAGTCGGCTTCTTTTGTTTTACACTAGTCGATGTTTTCTGTACTTTCTTAGTCTTGGCTTCGGGTAATTTAAAAAGTTGATTCAAATAAGGACTGGCAGTCAACACCTGTGAACTGCCAGCGTTAGATTTTCTTTTCTTTTGAATGTTTTCGCCGCTGAATGCTTTGGGAGGAGGGGAAATATCTTCTGGTAATACAAATGTTGTAGTTGCACCAATGGGCTGATGTTTGTCCGGGTGGCAGTGGTTTATCTGTAACATAAGACGCTGCGAATTCGCTATCTTCAAAAATATGCCTGTCGGTAGGATAAATTCCCGTTTTCCTGAAACCGCTTGACGCGTTCTGGATTATTCCTTAACCATGATTCCACGGCTTGGGTGTAAAATGTGGACAATGGTTTCATGAACGAAACATCAAGCGGTTGTATTCGGTGAGAGCAGTGAGGTGGTATACACAACAGGGTGACACCATTATCGCGAGCCAACTGGATTACCTCCAGATTCCTTGTGTGTGTTGAATGTCCGTCCAATATCAGGAGAACTTTGTTTTCTTTCGTTGCGCCCGAAACTTTAATGAAATGACGAAACCATATTGTAAATATATCCAGCTGCATCCATCCAGACTGGTGGCACTGTGCAAGAGATCCAGGAGGCGCACCGTCCATCAGCTCTGGTTTCATTCGCACTCTTGGGAAAATTAATAGGGGAGGGACGAAAGAACCTGTAGCACTCATGCAAATTTCAGCTGTGACAAGTTCCCCTCTTTCAGCTGACGTAAGTGACCCCACATGTCTTCGTCCCTTCTTAGCAATAATTTTTGATGGTCTGGATTGTACTGTTGAAAGTCCGGTTTCATCAACATTATAAATATTGTTTGGCGCAAATTGATGTTCGTCCATTAGGCTTTCTAGTAAATCAAAAAATTTATTTACAGCAGTTTTGTTGAACCCTTTTGCCCGGGCAGCTGATGTTGCTTCTGGCGTTCTCAATGACAAATTAGGATGTCGCTTTAAGAAGGACTCAAGCCAATCCTTTCCCGCCATCTTTTTCTCTTTATCAAAGCGATGTTGAATATTGTTTTGAACAGCCAATTGATATGCCAGTCTTCGTACATCAGCTGTGGTATTACCAAACATCATCTCTTCCATCCGTATTAAATAGTCTACCAACTCGTCCTCTAGTTTTGCTGGGAATGTTGGCTGAAACATAAAAATTATACCCTTAAATTCAGAATTAATAAAAAGAACAACAGTGTGTGTGGGGGGGGGGGGGGTCGGGTGCGTGGAGGGTGTGTGTGGGGGGGGGTGAGGGTGGGGGGGGAGGATGGTGTGTGTGTGTGGGGGGGGGGTGACTAAAGAACATGCTCCCACAGATACTTTTATAGATTTAATATTAAACTATTCAAACAAACAAAGAAAGTTTTTCGCATTACAACAATCTATCATTACCTTAAAACGCCCCAATGAATTACTTGCACATGTAACAAATATGTTCTGATTGTTCACCCGTCTTCGTAACGTGGATTTTGGAACTCTAAATTCTCTACTCGCTCGCTTTATTCCCATCTCGGCATTTCGAACAGAAGCAATGGCCCTTTCCATAGCAGAAACATCCCACGAATTCCTTGTGGATATACGTTTATATATTCTAGGCATCTGAAAATCAGGGAAAAAACCGTAAAAATTATGATGTACCTATCAGTAGACGCGAAAGAAAAAATAAATACATTATAGGCCCTATGCATAGCCTAAATTTTGAGAAAAAAAACCCCACTCTAAATAATCTAAACTAGTACAATACAAGTGAACATATACCAAAAGTAGATCGGGGTAAGACGGACCCTACTCCGTTTTGACCCCGTCGCAATGGTCCGTCTTACCCCACAGGTCCAGAGCTGAAAAAAAGTATCACGTCTGCTACAATTTGTTTTTAAGATGGATTATCATATCCCATAAATATAGGTTATATGTTCACAAAAATGTTCTCATGGCATTCATAAGGTTTCCTACAAAGACTGGTGTGAATAACTTTAGTATTATAAACTACTAACCTTAGATCCAATCAGCTAGAAAAGAAATTCGGACCGTCAAACTGTATGTTTACGTCGAAACATCACCCATTACTCTCGGTTAACGTGAAGGTCGAATAACGACGTCATAAGGTCATCAAGTACATAACGCCACCTGCTTACAAAATATAACCGAGGGTCCGTAAGGGTCCGTTTTACCCCACTTTCCCCATATGTAGTGAAAGTAATAAAATATAGGCCTACTTAGGCCTATCGTTTTGTCTTTGTTCGGGTTTTATGACCAAATTGTAATGTAAAAATGGTCCCACTACTGATAACTTGCGTCTATACTGCACATAGCTAAACATGCATATAATTAACTAATTCACATTGAAATAAAAGTAAAATCTTACCGCATAATTGACTTAGAAAAACCCCAACGGCTATTCGATATTTTAAGTGGATAGCGGTATGTCACTTCGAAAATGTAAAACGCGTTAGAGCTAACCCACTAAAATTGTGAGTAACTAATTTAATGGTTCATACTTCATCATTTGTGATAAAGGCATTTATTTCAATACAAAATATGAGGATATATGTGTTGAAAATTATTTGTTTGAGGCTATAGCCTATACTTGCTCGCACAAAGTCTACAATATTGCAGCTAATTGTAACGTTGCGCATTATACCCAATTTATTCGGTGTATTAATAAATGAAACTAGTTAGTTCTGTCTATAATAATGTTTCTCTAGAAAAATTATTGGACAAAATATAGTTTCTGTGGTTTTCTGTATAACATAAAACTAGAATCTGGGAATCCCACCAAAACGGTGACCTAAATAATGTCAATTTAAGTGGTGTCTGAATACGCGTGTGTGGGTGTTTAATTGCAGTGTTCATTGGAATTTATTTTGAGTATTAACATCGCATTAAATTAAAATTAAGTGTAAACATTGTCTAGCAAGGGAATTAAAATTCGGTAATTTTTCATCGGAGTGGTTTTCCATAAACCATGCCAGACGACGTTGCCCATTAAACAAGGGGAAGGAACTCTTGCATTATTTACTTCCGGTGAAAAGTATGATGTAAACATCGTCTGACAAATTCAATACAAGTGATAAAGCAGAATTTGAAATCAAATAATTACGTACGGTAAGCATTCAAATATGGCTTCGTATTTTGATGAACATGATATGAGTAATGGCGAAGATTCTGCACAGCCACGGCCAGACCAGAGTCTACTGCTCCGAATTTTAGAAATGGCCAGGTAATTGTTTTGTTATCATATTGATTTTGAATCATATTATTCATAATCATTCATCATTGTTGATGAAAATGTGCTAGTTCAATACTTCATCGACGATCGTACACCGCTCATGGTTAGGCCACAGCTCAAAGCTAAAGAACACAAACCACCTACAAACCATGGCAAGAGGTTTTATAATCGAAACATTCATTTTGGACAGCATATAGCCTAGTATGATATAGGCCCATCATAGAACCTAAAATATAAACATCATGTACATAAATTAAATAACAATATGTGATACTTTATTCTCCACATTTAGCCTACATTTTAAAAAAAAAAAATGAAAAAAAATAGCAACAACAGAAAACAAAGGCAGGTGCATTTTCAAGAATTAACAGTTTAGTTGTCTCTCCACAAAAAAGAGTTGAGAAGTAGACACAGGCTGCAACACATGTGGCTATAGTATAATACCTGTTGGGTCAAATAGATTTTCAAATGAATAGGTTAGACCAGTATTGTCAATAGGCACTTGATAAACTGGCCAGTGAAATTTGTTACTTGAACAGACAAACATTGTTGTCTTGAACCAACTTCGATTGATTATAGAGACTGAATAATCCAGCCTCTGATTTATGTGTAATACATGTACATGTATGTTTAAGTTACAATAAAAATATCAGTCTTATTCTTAACAAATTATTCCTTAAAAATTTGAAGGAAGTTTGTCGATCCAGAGTCCAAACTGCAATACAAGTCATTTCCACCAGTCAGTCCTTCAGTTGGATTTCACATGACAAATATGTAGACTTGGACAGCATATTCCTCATGCTTGTCATTTTATACGTAGATGTGCTTATTATAAATTACTGTACCTTCTAACAACAGTCTTTATATTTAAATCTTACATATTTTTGTATGTTTCAAATATAGATTATGTGATGATTTGGCTTGTTATGTCTTCACCCTTTATTTAACAATCTTAAAATATATTAAATTGGTGATTATTAATCTTTCACTTTTAAACATAGAATTTACCTATAATTATTTACATACAGTTAATTTCTGGAGCTTCAGATGTCTGTACTGAAATTTAAGTGTTTTGTTTAATTTTATCTCCAGACTTTTACAAGAAGAAATGGATGTTGAAATTGTTAGTGATTTAGGGTGAGCTATTTGTGAATGTTTTGAACTGGTCCTGTTTCCAATAAACCAAAAAAATAAATTAGACTTAGAGTGCCTGAAGAAATTTGACAAAAAATACATTGTTTATGTTAGGCCAGCTTCGATTGTCAACCACCAAGTAGTGTGTACATCATGCGTCTGCATCATGACTAATTTTAGTTAAACCAGAAGCTCCCGGCCTGGGTTAAGTCAGCATGGTGACTCATTGTTAGTAGTGTAGGACAGAGGGCCTTGCAATTAAGGAAACATCAACTAGTCCTTCAAATTTTAAAAAAAATTGGTAGGAATATTTCTTAGGTTTCTTCAAGTGAAGTTGGTTGATCTTATAGTTATGGGACAATGTCACCTTGATTGTGAAAATTTATGTACTGTAAATCCTTCTCCTAAACTGAGGATTGGTTTCAAACAAGGTTGTTCTAAATTAATTCCTTCGGTCCAGGGAGGGATAGGGGCATAAGTTTTTTTACTACCAAATTTTGTTCAGATCATATTTATATGCATTTTATGGCATTTTTAAAAAAATTCATTGTCTCTTTGATATAATGAAGGGAATAACAAATGCACACATGCTTCTTGTATTCTATTATAACATTTCATTATTTTCTTAGGTTTATGTCAGCATCTGGGAAAGCTCCACCAGCCTCCAAAAAAGTTGTAGAAGAATTAGAAACAAAATTAGTATCACCAGCATCTGCCTGTAAGTATGGGGTAGAATAGTCTCTTTAAAGGACAATATTGGTGTCAGTCATTATCACATATGTGATTGAACTAATTAAACACGTTCCAAATATAATTTTAACACAGAGATCATTGCTACGATAGCTGAGTTTAATACAGGTTTCCTGAATCGGAAGTGTTGAATGCCAAAGGAAAACACGAGTCATCCCTCTATATAACCATAGGCGTACGAACGGACACCCCCCCCCCCCATTTTGGGCACCAAATGCTGGGAAAATTTGGGCACACAATTGTACTTTGTAAAAGTTGTATAAAAAAATATTGTGTTCTTGAATGCGTCCAATTTAACAGCGAATTTAAATTCAGAGTGTCTATAGTTAGGCAAACCCTCTATTGTTTGGAGTACAGTAAGCCACGAATTACAGTTACATAAACAACTGTTTTTAGTTGTGTATATTACAAGTAAATAAAATTTAGTTCTCTTTTATTGATGATTTAGAAATTAAGAACTTATTCATCGCAAAAGAGATATTATGATTATTATGTAACATACTAAGAACCTAACTACATTTTTGGGGCACCAACCACCACCACCCCCCCAGTCAAAAATTTCCCCGTACGCCTATGTATATAACTGACTGAAGTGACGAGTAATAACAGATACATGGGCGAATTTCTGCTCACTAATAATTCCTTCCAAGACCAAAAGTTGTTGTATGAGACTGTGAGAGGATATCTGACAATTCATAAAAAAAATTGACTACCACTAGATAAGAGAACACGAAAGAAAAACAGAAAAAGTCTGTGCATTACCATGTTTTTGTAAGGTATAGAATGAATATAAACAATGGAATGTACGGACTATTCTATTTTTCTCGTGTTCTCTTATCTAATGACATTCAATTACTTTATTGAATTGTCAGGTATCCTCTTGCAGTCCCATATAACAACTTTTGGTCTTCGAAGGAATTATTAGTGAGCAGAAATTTGGCCGTATATCTGTTATCACTCGTCACATCAGCCAGTTATATAGAGGGTAACTCGTGTTTTCCTTTGGAGTTCGTCACTTCCGATTCAGGAAACCTGTATTACTCAGCTATCGTAGCAATGATCTCTGTGTTAAAATTATATGTGATAATGACTGGCACCAATATTGTCCTTTAAATAAGATAAACTGCAGATTTGATTAAGTGTTAATTTGTTTTATGACCTGAAAATCATGCTTCATCAAAAGTGTTCATACATCATTGAAATTTATAACTGATTTTAGGTTCAACAGATTGAAAGCAAAATTACAATTGATTTACCCTTACTCTGCTCAAAGACGAAACTAGACTATAAGTCCAGAAGGATTTTTTCAAGGACACAACTTACTCTACCTAAATGACAAGTCAGAAGTTACAGAACAAGATCAGATAAAGATACAAATTATAACATTCTATTTGCATCTGCAATGCAAGTTCAGCTTTAGGTCAGGCACACAAGAGGACCAAGCATGGCAGACAGTCTTGAAAAGTCGGCTTCTAAAATCCAGGTACATGCCAGTTAAATGTACCTATAAGAAGTGATTAGTGTCATGCTTGAGGCAACATATTCTCACTTTTTCTAGAGCAAATGAAACCAGTTCTAATTTGCAGTACTTTTTGGATTATTGTTTAGATTAATGTTTTTCAGGTCTAGGGAAACAATGTGCAATATGTTTGGTTTCTTTTGATGAAGAAGATGAAACAAAAGTTTTACCTTGTAATCATCAATTTCATTCTGTTTGTATAATAACATGGCTTAAACAGGTTGGTATTAGTATTCATTGTCTCACCTTTTTGCGTGGTTGAGTTGCAGGACATCATACCACTTCACAGATGAAGGGCAATAGCTCGAAATGCGTACTGGATTAAATCTTTTATTACTATACAGTCCTGTCCAGTTTGTTGTTTGGGGACTTATATTATAGTATGGATCATTGTATTATATTTATCCCCCACCTTTCTAAGAAAGCAAGGGACTATAATAAAATGGGTTCGTCTGTCTGTCCGCCCGTCACACTTTTTGGGACACAATAACTCTCTTTCTAATTGAGCTAGAATGTTCAAACTTGGTATAGGTGTTTATTACATCAATGCCTTGATGGAATTCGAAGATGAGAATTTTCTGCTTAAGGTAAGCAGAGATAAGCAATTTGATAACTTTAGTTCTAATTAAGTGAGAGTGATGAAACGCAGAGTATAGATTCATTATATCATTACCTTGACTAAGTTCAATGATGAGAATTTTCTGCTTAGACTAAGGAGCAATAAGCAATTTGATTGGTCAAGACTTTTTAACATAACAACTCTGCTTTTAATTGAGGTAGAATGTTTAAACTTGATGTAGATGTTCATTAGGTTAATGTCTTGACTGAGTTCAATGATTAACATCTCGAGCTAAAGCTAAGCAGAGCTAAGCAATTTCATTGGTCTATGCTTTGGGACAAGATAACATTGATTCTATCTGATAGAGAGTGATGAAACTTAGTGTATAGTTGATAATCAGTTTGATTGCTCAATACTTTTGAAAAAAATAAATGTGCTATTAATTAATATGTGTCATCTATTTATTTTGGGATTTCGGCAGGGGACATCAGTCTCACTGTTGGCTTGTTTAACAGTAAATCATCAAATATCAATTTACAAGTAAACCTTGTTTTGGAGCAGTTGTGGTTAAGACACTCTCATAACCCAACCAAAGACTGATGAGTTAAATTTAATCACAGCATTATATATTAATTTGTGGCATTGAATTCATTTTTAAATGTTTTGAAAATCTTAAGAATTGAGTTTAGCTTGTATTGTGATTGTTACATGTATCTTGCTTTATGAACATATTGTCCTCTATATGACTCAAAATAAAATCGCCTTTCATTACATGAACTATCTCTGCCATTGCAGGTAAATTCTTGTCCAATTTGTCGCCATGAATTACCAACAGATGATCCTAATTATGAAGAAATGCGTAAACATAAAGTAAGGTTTGATTTTCAATTTACAATTAAATTCCAATGATAAAATAAAAACAGAATATGTCTTCAATAAACAATTTTATATTAAAGATGCATTATGTAAGAGCTAAATCTTCCTATTGCGTGTCTTTTGTCTGGCTTCAAATGTTATATAAATTATTATTTAGTCATATCAACATGACAAGCCAATAATCAACCCTCTGAGCCATCCGATGGCTCCGATTTTGAGTAGATTAGAACATAACAGCCTCTTAAGTCTTTAATGATAAAATGGATAATCAAGACTTATAATAAACAATCTACACTACACTTTGTCAAAACTTCAAACACTCATAACTTCGTACAAAATAAAGCAGTTTGAATGAAATTTTTGAATATTTTCAATTTATATCTATTTTCAAAAACCCTTGTTTAATTCTTACATGATGCATCTTTATTTGATAATAAAAGGAACATGGCAATACCACAACGAAGAATTCTCTGATGCAAGTACCGAACCTGCTTATTTTGAATTCCAGACTATTTCACAGGTGTTGATGTATTTACCAATATTGTTTTTTTTTTTAATTTCAGGCTCGTGCAAAACAAAGAGAATATGAACAAGAAACTCTTCATAATTCTATGTTTGGTTAATTTCTTTTCTTTTCACTGCCAATCATTCAAAGAATTTCATTTTATAAATGTGTTAACTGATCATTACTTTATATCAAAAACTACATCTTCACAATGCCAAGGTTTATCACATACCTTGACTGCAACATAAACAGTTATGATAAATTTGGGGGGGAAAGCTTTAAGGGTATTATTCCTTTAAACAAGTCATAGATGTAATTTATTTTATAATATAATATTCAAAATTACCCCCCCCCCCCATTATCTAATATTCAAGCAATGGAATAATAAGAGCAAGGAATCTACAAATGTAGCATGTGTATCTGTTAAATGTAATAATTTCATTTATCATCTCAAATTTGATTATATTAATTATTTTTAAAAAAAATAAATTGTTATTGAATTGCTATGATTTCTGAAATGTACCAGACCTAAATATTCTGTATATCATATAGTTCTCTTCTTTTATTATATTATTTTTGATTTGCTCATTCTAAAGTTCTAAGGGCTGGTGATAATTAAAAAGAGAAATGAAATGTGTTTAAAGTCCTATTTTTCCTCACCTATATACTCTTCTATCGAATTCCAACTGTCAAAGGTTGCCCATGTGTACCCATACCACATCTGTTTGTTGGCCAACACCGGGATCAAACTAGAGACTTCTTGGCTAGTGAGTCAGCATCTTACTCACTGAGCCACCGCGATTCCAACTCAAGAAAGGGGTCCTCAAGATTAAAAATGATGTCATTGAGATCACCTCTTTCTGAGAGAGCGATCTTGGATGTATATGATATCCTTAATTTCTTATTAACTGTTTATTTAAGTTTTTCCTTGTATGAACATTATTCGATAAGAAATAAAACTATAAAGCAATACCAGTTAAAGGGACAGTGTGCCAGAGAGTTCACCAGTATTTTAAAGTAACAAATATGTGTTATTTACAGTAAAGACTGTTAATATAATTTAAGTAATCAAATCAAATTGTAATGCAAAAAAAAAAAAAAAGAATTACATAAGAAACTGATTTAACCTTTAAAAGGATATTGAATAATTTTCTGACCCAATGATTTTAATTCTCGCATGTTGTCCCTTTAAATTAATTGATGCACCAATTTTGCTAATTTTAGATTGTTTGTAACTCTATTTCTCAAAATATGTTTTTAAACAATATTTTAATGTTGTATTATATATCTGAGAATTCAGTTTTTATATACCAGTACCAAAGTTATTTTAATGTCTTATCTATTTTTTGAATGTTTAGTTTTTGTATACCGGTACCCAAATTATTGGAAAATAACCTAATTAATTCATGTAAATTGTACATATATATGATATTTAATGTATTTAATATTTATGTATAATATCAGTATCTTTGTTGTTTTGTATATTAGCAAGTCCAGAATCTGTCAGGC